TTTGAACTTCTTAGCAACTGCGTTAATTGATTTTCTTAGGTTCTCATCGATACTTTTTTATATATTTCGTGCAAATGTGTGTGTTCTGATGATATGAGGACAATTAGCGGGCGTTTTGCGTTTGACTTTTACTGCAGAATCCCCATCAGCGGCTCCCATTAACAGATATGACAAATGCCCTGCATTTAAGACAATTACAGCATGCCTTTTCCTTTGTTGAATTACCGCATTTAAAGATCACTCTATTTGTTAACCTTTGTTTTATTGTTTTCAGCTTATTCTGAAAGGGTTGACTTGTCGAGATTCTTTTTTTTTTTTACTAAAATATCTTTAAAAATTACCCAGTATCTTATATGCTTTATGTAGGTTTAAAATTCGCGATAGTTGGTTGAAATTAGCTACCTGGCAACTCCTATTAGTTTAAACTTAAACATGAAAGAGCAATAGAACACGTGGATGTCAATGTGTTATCACGACCTTACACTTACAGGAAAAGCAAAAAGACCCAGCATTGCACAAGTCTGCGAATGGATGAAGCAAGCTTGGGATAATATTAGACTAGAAATTATGAAATCTTTTTAAAAGTGTGGCATTAGCAATGCTCTCAATGGAAGCCAAGATGACGCATTATTTAACGACGATGATAGTACTATTGAAAAAAATTATCAGAGTTTTGATAACGAAGACGACGAATTTTATGGATTTGAAGGTAATAAAAATTTAAAAGTAACTGTATTGTTTTGCTCAGTTGTAATAATTGCTAGATTTTTTTTTAGTTTTCTTACCTTTGGATATAATAAAGTTTTCATAGGATCGTGTTCTTTTTTTCTATTATTTTTCGTTTAATTTTAATCATGGCTTCATTAACTGAAATAATACTTCATAAATATAGCCCAGGCTATACCATTTACTAATATTTTACTAATTACTATTTTGTTTTCCCTGTTGAAGTTGGGCTGCGTCTTATACACCGGTGCATCATTTATTTTTATTTTTTCTTACCTTTGGATATAATATATTTTTTTTATAGACTTGTGTTCTATTTTCTTATTATGTTTTGTTTAATTGTAATAGTGGCTTGTTTAACCAAAATCATACCTCATAAGTATAGCCTAGGCTGTAGCATTTACTAATCATTTTACAAATTTTACTAATATTTCTTGATTTTTCCCTGCTGAAATTGGGGTACGTCTTATACACCCGCGCTTTATATATGCCGTCAAATATGGTAGTTTCATGTTCACCATCTTTTACCTGAACAAAAATGATAATCTGAACAAGTTAGAAAAAAAGTTAGAACCATGAAAAGACATGTACTAAAAAAAAATCTGATAAACTCTGTATTAGATATGACATGCTATTTCAGTTTTCTTTGTTTCTAATTATATTCCTCTATCTTTGTATACTTAGTTTTCTATAATGCACTTTCGCTATTTCATATCCTCTTCGGATTTCTGTGCCAATATTTCTGTCGTCTGTAACTACTAAACACATATTGTTAAATGTCTGTTACTGATTGACTTTGGCATCCCCAATCCATTCTGCTGGCCCCTTTCCTTATGAGAAGTCCTCCTACCTTCTTATAGTTTGCCTATATCTCTGAGATTAGATATTATCATTATTGACATTATTTATATTATTCGTTGTTATCCTCACCTTGATTGCTATATTCACAACGTTTTGGCCGTTGTATACTCCAGCCTTCTTAAGGTGATTGGAATTTCGACCTGAACCCATTATTTTCGTCCACCGGGGGCTAAATTGTTCCTAGTTCCACGTGCCATGCCTCTTCCGGATGTCCGAGGCCAGTCTGTCCCTGACTACATATAACTTTTTGTTATTCCGGCGAAATTGCACCTAAAAAAGCAGATTGTTAAACGGAAGCTTTTTTTTTCCTTTGACACCGCTATTATTTTAACTATTTCCATTCCTCGGTTTAGTGTCTTAAAAAGCTATGATAGAATAATAAAGTGTATATATATATATATTAAAGAAGCGTTCGGTAGACAAGGTCGAATTTACTGCTTATAAACTTCAATCTTCCATGAATCTCGTACATTCATAACTGTTCTGGCGTATCAAATGTAAACAAATGACGTCATATATTAAGAAATGGACAAAGATAAAAATGTCTTTAATAAATAAATTGTCGGACTTTGTCCATTTATTAATATATATATATATATATATATATATATATATATATATATATATATTATTCGTGAGCATTTACAATACAGTTAGTAAACCCTATTTATTTATAAGATTGTTTACTTACAAGAATAATTTCATATTTCCAAAATTCTAAAAATTAATACAATAAAAACTAATGCAATGTAATGTTTGCCATTTACCAATCTTTAAAGAAAAAATATGAAAACAATTTTTTATTCATAAATTTATGAACATTTATTAAAGTATTAAAATATATGTACCATCTATAAGGAAATCCTTATTTTTTACCATTTTACAAAGTTTATATAAATTCGAAATTGGCCGATCTTCTGCCAAGATAAATAATATAATAAATAAAATAGGGTAAATGTAACATTTTAATAAATACAGTTTTTTTCTTTTTTTTTTATTATTCTTGTAAATTATAAGGAACAGGAAAATCTATAATTTCACATTCATATATTTAGGTTATATCACAATTCTAATCATCGTTTTTTAAGAGAATAAACATAGCGGTGTCAATATAAAACGTTTATTTGATAGTTTATTGCGTGTACAAAGGTCCAAGGCTTCTAACGAAAGAATCCTGAAGATAGTTACACAGGGAAAGAGTTTATGAAACAGATAAATATCTTGCATTACTTTTTAAAAATTCAATTATGAACTTCTTCGCCCATAATTAGTGGTGTTTTGTTTTTGTGATATTTACATAAAACTGCTACTTTCATTGAGTTCATGCCTTTGGCCTAAGATTGTTTTTTTAATATACTCCATCGTTTTTACAGCGTTTACATTTCAGACTTTTTTAAATATTATTTTACATTGCAATAAATAATCTAATAAATAATCCAAAAAATCAAATATATAATCTAATAAATAATCTAATAAATAATCTAATAAATAATCTAATAAATAATCTAAAAATCTAATATATAATCTACTAAATAATCTAATAAATAATCTAATAAATGATCTAATAAATAATCTAAAATCTAATATATAATCTAATAAATAATCTAATAAATTATCTAATAAATAAACTAATAGTCTAATAAATAATCTAATAAATTATCTAAGTAATAATCTAATAAATAATGTAATAAATAATCTAATAATCTAATAAATTATCTAATAAATAATCTAAAAATAAAATATATAATCTAATAAATAATCTAATAAAAAGTATCTAATACATAATCTAATAAATTATCTAATAAATAATCTAATAAATAATCTAAAAATCTAATATATAATCTAATAAATAATTTAATAAATTATCTAATAAATAATATGATAATCTAATAAATAATCTAATAAATAAGCTAATGAATAATCTAAAAATCTAATAAATAATCTAATAAATAATCTTATAAAAATAGTGTTTATTACTTTTGTCGTCATTTCTCAAACACAGATAAAATGAATTTTATTCACTTTCATGTTTTAGTTTTATTACAATTCTAATCATCGTTTTTTAAACGATAAGCATTACCGAGGATTGAAAATTGCTAAATTAATAGCGGTGTCAACGGAAAGACCGTCCTTTTGACCATCCCTTTTTGTGCACATGAAGGTTAAGAATTATTTCTTTCTTCTTTACTACGTTATCTCAGGTTTCTTTCGGTTTTCGTTCTCCTTCTATTTTTAATACTGTGTTATTCATATGTCTTATTTTGACACGATTATGTGTGCCAGTAATATATTCTTTTACGTTTTCTAATTCCCTTGGGATCCTATAGGTTGAATAAATCCTGTGAGAAAACGTATCCTTGCCTTCTGCTACTTTTTACATCATTTCAGTCATAAATATTACAATCTCCTCTGGCAACCCTTCTTTGTTTCTCGACACCTTGTTCACAGGACGTACCGGAAACAAAAAAGAGAGAGGGAAGAAATTATGTAACGTCATTGTGAAAATTGATGTCAGAACAGCAAAGGTGTAGTGTAGCGAAAAAGGCAAAAAGTTGCTAAGAGTTACAAAGGATAGAAAGTTGTGGAGAGCCATGAAATTTCTACATAGAAGATGATAGGGTGGACTGGCTTGATAATCTGCTAGACACATTTAGAAGTCTCTTCAGGAGAGCTGCATAGTCTAGACTAATGATTGGCACGCCTATCACAGTCATGTCACCTTCTTCACTTCTACGTTGAACACACCGCTTATCGTCCGATGGGTCACCGCTTGGGGATACCAGGTGCTGCAAGGGTTTTTATATGGTCTAGTGCTTCCGCTGTTCATCTCGATGTCCTCGACAAAATTCAGAGACGGAATTCAGATTCGGAAACAAAATTCTTGTAGACCCTTTTATAACTGACCAACTTGTATCTATCTACGTACTAAGCAAGTGCTTATAGTCCCGTGTATAATAATAATGAAAAAAGCTTAAATAATCCAACATGAGTTGAGATCTTCTGATGACTGGACCTTGATCCATGTCCTTCTGTTTATTCTGTTCCCAAACCTTTCTCTTTACTCTTACTCTCACTCTCTGTAACCCATTGCGTACTAGTAGCACTCTCGCCTTTCTTTGAGTGATTTGCTTAAAATATATCCGGGTATCTGGTCAGTCTTACACATTCTTTTCATCTTATTCAAGGGTTTCGACATAGAAAAGCTGAGAGATTCTCTCTTCCCGCATGTTGTTGTTGTTGGTCGTGTTCATATCATTATCATCATCATTATTTTACTCGATAACCTTGGTTTAAACAATTACAGTGTTGACTGTTGTTTTTACCTCTTAATAATTTATTTATAAACACTTAAACCATTCTTTATTTTTATATCATTTTCTGCGTTAACATGTCCTCTCTCTCCTTCCTTCCAGTTTCTGTTCTTTCTTTCTTTCTTTCTTATTTAATATCTCTTCTTTATGTTTTCTTTCTTTTTTTCTTTTGGTTTCCCTCTTTCTTTTTTTTTCTTTCTTTCCTTCATTTCTTTCCTTTCTTTATTTTTCTTTCTTTCTATTTTTTCTTTCTTTAATTTTCTTTCTTTCTTTCTTTCTTTTTTTTTAATTTCTTTCTTTCTTTCTTTTTTCCTTTAAAGACTTTCTTTCTTTCTTTTTTCTTATTTAATATCTCTCCTTTCTTTTATTTTTTTCTTTCTTTTTCACAAAAAATCTTTCTTTTTACCTTTCTTTTCTTTTCAGTTTCTTTTTTCTTTCTTTCTTTTTTTCTTTTCTTATTTAATATCTCTTTAATTTCCACTCTTCTTTATTTTTTTTTTTCTTTTTCTTTTACATTTCCACTTCCTTTTCGCCTTTTTTCTTTCTTTCTTTCTTTCTTATTTAATATCTCTCCTCTTCTTTATTTTTTCTTTCTTTTACATTTCCACTTTCTTTTCTAA